ATGCTTCTTAGCAATCCTTATATGATTTCTTGTTGATCGAAGCTAGGTTGTGACATTTCACAAGCGAATTCTCTTCTCTGATGTTGTTCTCTTCGACGATCTTCAAATAGTCTTAAAATGTGCCTGTTTTCTTCATCTTACTCCAAACAAAGCCGAAATAAGTCCACCGGTGGATCTCAAGTAGTGTAACATCGGTTAAGTCTTGATCTTGGGAGTTAATTACTTTTAATTAATAGTTGAGGGTTCAATTCAGTGAATTGTGTTAAACGAGTGGCATTAGTGGTCTCCAGCTCGTGTTTTTTCGCTCATTTTGAAAACAACGTAACCACTTAAAAAAGATATTCTGCCAGCTTCCAAATAGATTAAAAGCGTTCAAGTGGTAGGGCTGGCCTTTGTTTAAATGACTTCCACAATGATACCTGTCTGAGCGCATTCAAATTTGCGAAAAGAGAGACTTATTGTTCGTATACCAACTAAATCAGAACGCGAATAGAGACAAGGTGTCCCATGTAACGTAATGTCAATTTACAGGTAAGAACATGATTGAGTGTCTAAACAATGCCTCAACTCTGATTGGTTCGTTACGGCCTTCTGGTTATTCACTATTCTGGCTCATTGTAACTAGCGCCGTATATGCTGCTTACATTTGGGAGTTAAATCAAGGTGCACTGTTAGAAAACTAGTAGGATAGGGATCAACTTGTAGCAAAATCACAAATTACTGACAACACACGTAACAATGTGTGGGCATGGCTAAAGATTTTGTAAAGCTTAACACCAAACTAACGGTATTTTCGGAAATAAAGGCCCGGGAGCCCACTAGATATCAAGGTGCTTTCCTAAAGGACAATTCGAAAAAAGGGAGAAATGAAAATAAAGATGAGAATCTACTCGTTTTATAAAAGTTGGAATTGTGTAACGCACGCAGGTGAAGTGAGTCATAATGGGATGATAAGGAGGGTAAAACAATAATCGATACTCCGGCTAGTCGGTTCATATCCAGTGGTGTGATTAACCAACTGCCCCCTAGTCAATTATGATCATCAGGAAAAATGATGGCATTTGAATTTCCCGTATGGTCAGGTCTTAGTTATCTTCTCCATGTTCAAGTAAAGTGAGGGTAAATGCTTCTCCTGGTGGTTTTGGGAAGCTAGGCCAGTGAGGAAACTGGTTTTACGCTGAGGGAGAAGTTGAGATAGCCAACGTAATAACGTAGATTCAAGTGATTTGCCTACTTAAACTGCGTAAAGACGGGGTGTGCGATAGACTTACCTCCACGTGGTGCACCCTGGGCAACGTATATTCATACGGCAAAAAATTCTATTAACTGGCAGTTTACTTCTCACTTCAAACAGCCATCACCTCACTCTATGCCAAATTCCACCACTTCACAGTACTCACCTCACCTTTTTTTCTACCTTCGTGTTTGTCTCCTACATCTTTGAAACACTCTTCTCTTCCCTCCTCCCCTCTCGACTTTTTTCAATTTGATGTTCCTCCCCCCTCTGCAAAGCCCGAAGTCAACTAAAGGGCTAATGATAACGATCAAGACGCCTGCCATTTGATATAAATAAATACTGCGTAAAGACGGCTGGATCAAAAGCCAGTGGACCACTCACATGAAAATTTATCGAGGTCTGTCTGTAGTGTTCAAATTGTCGCCTTGAAATAATGATAATCAATTTATGATTAGTGAATACCAGGTGTATTACCCAACCCCCCCCCCCCCCCCCTATACCACCGTAATTTCCAGACACTTCTACTGTTGAAGAGATCACTCAAAGTCTAATTTGCTTGCCTAGGTTACTTGGCTTCTTTTTAGCATAATCGTCCTTTATTTATTGTGACGAATTTTTCCGTTTTTTGAGGTCTATTCTAACTTTGACTTCACTATCCCTCCATTTGCAGCAACCCAAAATGGAAATTCTTTTAGGCAAAGGAGTGACCAAGGGGGAAATTAGTAGACAAGGTGTTGGAAATGCATTTATAACGAAAAATACCACAATCTGCTCAAAATTTAATACTTTTATCTTGTTCAAACGAAATTAAACACTACAATCCCATTGTGGGGTGGGGTTAACAACGATCCACCTGGATGAAGGAGACCCTTCCAAGGAAAAATGCGTATTTCACCACTCCTCCTGTTGATTAGAGCATCACCCCCACTTCCCATGATTGCTATTATAACGGTTCCAATTCTTAAGTCGGGAGGAGAGAGTTCCGTGGACTTCTTATCAGAGTCCCGTGAATATGCTGAATATATTTCAAGGAACATTTATAAATGGCTACGTTTGGTGTTTATTACCGAACCTGTAGTTCTAAATTGAGTATTCATTTTCTGAACAGTACTATTAGCGGGAGAAACGGTCTGTGAAAATTTTGCGGTTAACCTTTCGCTTAAGGTTACAGACGATTTACACCCACAAATAAGTTACAACAAAAGTCACTCTTTATTTGATGAGAAAAACGGCGTTCTGGGGGCCTGCACTTTCAACTACAAAAAGCACAAATTGAGCCCTGGAGATCACCTGATCCCTCACAAGCGTCCATTCCCATCAGTGCTTGACTCAGAGTTGCATTAGTAATTAGGACAGCTTAGCCTGTTTTTGCATGTCACAGCGAATGCACTTTTATGGAGTGTGGGTCTACTATACACCTAAATTGTGCTCGTAAGTTCATACAAATGTCGCTTTAAGCATCAAGGTTCGGCATACCACAGTTAGAGCGTAAACCCAAATATGCGTATTCTAGTGATTGATTTTTTTGGCATGGAAAACGGATAAGAGACTAGTTCAATGCGAACGGTTGCTACGCTTGTTTAGTTTAGACATAACCAATTCCCACAGGTTTTCTCGTGGTTGGACAAAAAGCTTTATCAGTCTGGTGGCGTCTAAGCATCCCAACATCAGCAACTCAAGATATCTTGTATATCTGTAGAGCACATCAGATTGATCAAATTAAAGGGCTCAATTTTCTTTTGTCATTACCCCCCCCCCCTCGCTCTCTCTTAGCCTAGTAATGCCATTTCGCTGGTGGGTCTGCCGTTTCACCAGGACCATAAATTCATAACGGAAGAGTCAATGTCAACAGAAAGTGAGTAAACGTTCTGTAATGCAAAGTGAGAGAAATCATTCAGGTATTATAATTGACATTGTTGCCGTTGTCGTAGGACTACTTGCCCACAAATTGGGGGCGACGAAATTGAATGGTAATGGTAATGGCGAATATCAAGTGGTGTTTGTTGCCAAGCCCACAAGTTAAGTTTTGTTGAGTGATTTTAGGACTTTGAAAAAAACATCAAACGATGAAGACTTTACCTTTAGCTTACTTTGAAAAGTCATCCCAATTTGCTGACTCAACGACAAAGGAGAATTAAAAAACTCAAAAAAGGTATTGGTTAATGACAGTTTATGTAGACTTATTGAGCCTTAAAACAGAAAATCTCAGTTATGATCTTGAGTGGCGTAGCTCAATACCTTGAGAGAATTCGATCAAAGTCAGTGAAATACCATGATGCCAACGGGGTGTGGAAGTGAAAGCCATGCTCAGGTGCAACAGACAACAAGCAATTCCAATGAATGATTTACGATAGTTTCAAGTCTTATAAACGTTTTGAATGATTGGCCTAAGACAGGCCATAAGTCAACTTAAGTGTTGATATGGGATTCAGTTTGAGCCCCTTCAAAAAGTCGTTTGGATAGAGGCCATATTCTTCCTTTAGGATGAGAAGAGAAGTACTAGTTATCCCTTTTTCCTAAGCACAAACGGATGACGCTGAGCATGAACAATGGATGAAAAATGACTGGTGTAGAAATGGCATTAATGACCCCTAGGGGAAACCTCTAAGCTCAATTTCAGAAGTGTTGAGTTAACCGCTGTGTTACTTTACATATAAAAGGCTGTATAATCTGCAAACTTTTGTTAAATCCATAATGAGGACGTAATGAAAGTATTCGGTGAGAAAGAAGATACCGTTCGAATGGAGAAAGTAAATAAGGGATTTATACTGTGCTTACTAGAACACCACTCACAATGGAAATGTGTGAGTTAAGAGGAAATAGAGAGCCTTGACGCTCGGTGTCACGAAATCTTTGGAAACGTGAGTGAGCTGCTAAGGCACTGGCGCGTAGACAAATTTTTCTAGTGAGGTGTGCGATAGACTTACCTCCACGTGAGGCACCCTGGGCAACTTATTCTCATACGGCAAAGTCTATAAACAGGAAGTTGACTTTTGACTTCAATCTACCATGACTCGATTGCACGTCATATTCGACCCCTTCCAGAGTACTCACCTTACCTTTTCTCTGCCTTTGTGTCTGTCTATCTCTTTCACATCTGTTAATCACTCTTCTGTTCTCTCTCAGCCTTTATGACCTTGATGTTCCTCCTCCTCTCTTTGAAGCTCGAAGTCAACTAAAGGGCTAATAATAACTATCATAAAACCTGCCACTTGATATAAGTATTTTAATAGTTCCAATAACCCACGTACTTACTTAAAATCTCCAAATAAATTTCCAAAATTATGCCTCTTCTAATTTTTGATTTAGCGTTTACAAAAAAATAATTCAACAGGCTATCTTCAAACTTTATTGCATTTTCCAACAAAATGCATAGTCCTAAGAGGTACAGAAGGTACAGAAGTGTGTAATAACAGCAGCAGCAATATTCGCAATAGGCGCGTATTATCTGGTAAAGATAAACTATGCACAAGACGAGAAAAAGCATTAAGAAATTCAAGGCAATTTGTGATTAGACCTGCGTTAACCACATTCCCAGATCTTAGATACAAGGACATAGGGGGAGAAAAAAATACATTTTCTCTGAGAGGGAAGTGGAATTGAATTTTCAATGAGACCCAAATCAAACGACATGGGAAGCTGTAATAGCCGTTATGAGCGCGACAAGAAGGCTAGTGAATATTTCGTGTCGGTAGATGGAGATTGATTTATTGGGTCCAGGTTTCTGCATTGAGGCGCTCCCTTGTAGATTCTGATTGCTATATGCCTCTGGAAATATTGGGAAGGGAAGAAATTTAACCAATTTTGAATACTCTACTTTCTACAATCGAATAAGCAAATGGCTCACTTCTAATCGAATCCAATGAAATTTTAGCTTCAGTAGTAGTTGACAATTTCCTTGAGTTCGGTCCGACTTCCGTAAGCATGGCTAATGAGGTCGGGTGTGAAGAACTTGACGCTGAACGTGGTGTATGGCTCCTATAGAAACAGACAAGTTGCCCAATAGCTGCCTGACAAATGGGGTCTTCTATCAGCGTCGATAAAGCAATGATTTCAATTTCATCTGGTGAGTAGAGCTCATGTCTGGCAGAGAGAGGATTATAAACTTCAGCGCCTGGCCAATTAGCAATTGATTTTGTGAGATTTGGTCGGAAACAACTCATAATATGTGAGATTCTCTGTAATGTGAGGGAAATATTTATATAATTTTACTAACGCTTTATCAGTAGTTTAGAGTTAGTGGTCAATTTTAAGTACCTCTTTATCGGCAAGCACTAATAAGTCCTGAGAATTGCCATTGAATACGTAGGTATCATCAGTGGGGAATTCTTTAAGGCCCCATTCGAGATGTTCACCAGCATGTGAAGGATAACCTGTGCATCGGAGGGTCACTCCTTCACCATTTTGATAGCTAATGGGTTCCGAGATTTCTACGGCTGGAAAGAGGAGACTTTTACACCGTTTTTAACTTTGAAAGTAAAAACAACGTCAGATAAAGTATGTCTAATTTATAAAAAAAGTCTGCTGAACTCTTAGTTTAGGAGATATTGCCATTCTCAAATATAGCAGTTAGTAAATAGTATGCTCTGCTTACCACTGTTATACGAAACATCTGAAGGCACATGCTGAACAGCTTTCTGCAACAACTCTTCTTTTAGTATTTTATCTTCACTAGCTAGATCCACCACTTCCTCCGTAAATGAGGCGCAAACATATCTTCCTCGAGAAGCCGGAGTCAGTTTTACTCGAAGAATCGCTTCACACGAAGCATCCGTCTCTTCAATCACTTCGAGATGACCATCATCGAAGGACCCAACTGACTCCAACGTGACGTTAGATGGATTAGAACCAGGAGAGGCTGGTTGAATTCGATACCATTTTAAACGCGGTTGCTTCTCCCCTGCTGGCTTGCTTGAAACACAAGTTAATGTTTCTATCTCACCAAAACGAAGGGATGTTATTGGTTGAATTTGCCGACGCACAAATAGAGCTAGAAATAGAGGTAGTAGTAGCATTTAGTGATAATGGCTAACACACCACAATTTATAAAGACATTTTTCTAACGAGCGTTGAACTGTTTTATTCGCTTATTGAATTTTACTAGTTTTCAATCGTTTTCACTTCATTCAGAGTATGAATTATCTTTCGACTTTAAGCTGCTCATCATCAAACACCTGGGCTTTGACCTTGAATAGGTCACAATTTGTGCCCTCTGGTTACGTCGCTAGAGTCTTCCTAATATGATACTTTGCACCTGTCTGTTTCTATCTTTGGATATTGATGTTCCCACAGTTGGAAGATATAGTAGTTTTCTAATTTTCTCCAGACACTATTGGTCACCTTCTAAACTGGAATAACTCTTACAATAGATTAAGATTTGCTCAAGATTATAGACACGATATCATAGCCTAGACAACACAGACCTGCCAAAACATATTTGTTAACAAATGGGCTGAAATAATATGAAGCAAGAAGCATGACAATAATTAAGAAGTAGCATTTCAATAAGAACATGGGTAAGTGACGTCACATGTCTCTGTGGGCTTTCAATTCTTCTTCTATTTTGCACAAGAAGTTTATGAAAGTGTGGTCCTCTAAAGAGTGGTACTTTCTCAACTTACATTCTTTCAGACGCAGGGAAAATGTCTCAGGAGTACGTGCTTCACCTTCTTTGGGTTGGAAGCAACACTGATATTCACCGACATTTTCGGAGCCAACTTCATTTAAAAGAAGAATTAGGCTCTGGGTTCCTCCATTCAAATTGCTGGCTGAGATATGACGAGTTTGTGTGGAGGCGATTAAATTTCTGTCGGGACCACGCCATTGGAGTTCTCCCTCTCGTTTTGTTGAGCACGTCACAGAAACAGCCATTCCTGGATTCGCTTCGAGGTAATAACGATCGAGTTTGAGATCTAAAGGAATTCACATCTTTATGCAAGTTACAATGGAGACAAAAGGAATATATATGGGCATCTTGTGTTAAATCACCATTTACAATCAGCCGAAATCCAACGCACGTTGGTGTTTGACCATAGAAATGCTCAACAGGGGGTTCAGGAGAACAACAGTATAGGCCAGCATGAGTGTCATCAATTTTCGGTATGCTTAAAGACGCTGTGAGGAAACCGCGATCATCAGGGAATGCGGCTGTCAGTGAAAAGGCTCCCTCTGGCATTGATTCACTACCTTCTCCCGATCGCAACCATCGAACGTCTTTCCGAAATCTGGGGTCGGTTCCAACTGCTGCTGAGCAGTTGAACAGCAGGCTGTCTCCCACATCCTTGCGAATATATTTTTCCGACACTATAATTTCTGGTGTTAATGAAAAGAAAGAATATTTGCTCTTTACTATTAATAGAAAAAGCTCCTTTTCGAAATTAATGATATCGAAATAAAGTGTGTCTAAATTTAATAGTACGCAATTTCGAATGAGATTTGCCATTTCAATTTTAGCGAAAACTTACCATCAGGAGTTGTAAAGGTCACTTCTTCAGAAACCAAATCGGAAAGATTGCCGGGATATTTAATAAATCCCTAGAAAGAAAAACAACCACTATGATTAAAGCACTTCGAGGGTAATTGAAAGGATAGTCGTGAATGTCACGCGTACTTTAATTTTGTACTCTCGGCCGGGCTGTAAATTGGTCACTTTATAAGTCCCACCCATTCCGTAGGTGCTGGGAAAAAGCTTTTCGAATCGGACATCTTCCAAAGGCAATTCAACCTTTCCATGTGCAAGAATAGCATATGCAGTCAGCTCAAAGCTGGCATCCATCTCCTCTGGTATTACTTCTGCACACTGGGCTTTCCTAGAGGGCTGAAGTACAACTGCTTGAGTCCACGGAGACATACTTTCCCCAGATAACGAAATACTTGAGTGTCCTAAGGTACAATAGATGACTTTGTTACTTTACTTATAAATCATGAAGTTGTATGAATTGAGGATCTCACCTTGTTCGCCATGTGTAAATTTTAGTTGTGAAGGCGCACCAGATACCGAATTGCCACTGTAGAATGAATCATAATTCGGACTTATCGTGATAATATAATTTGCCAAAATATCACGTTTATTCAGGAACTGTTCCACACTCCACAAATGGGTTGTACATCCTCGGGTTTTAGTGCCTTAATGAGAATGTTGAATAGTCCATGCGTATACGACTTACAATTAAGAGCCGCAAGGTAGTTTAGAGTCACGTTATCCCGAGTTCCACATCCGATATCTTCTAAAGTTACATCGACGGTGTATTCACTGACTGCTGGTTGTAGTTCAGGGGATACGAATTCCCAAGAAAGAATGCCTGTGGTATTCTCGAATTCGATGTTAATTGTTTCATGATCTGCAAGAAATTGATATCTTCAGATTAGCGCGCCATGTTAGATTGGCAATAGCACGTCAACCCAATATGTGATCATTAGTTGGGTGATGAAAATAAATAGATACATTGGAAAAATGAATAATTATACTTGATCATTAGGCCAATAGTTGACCGAGATTTGGAGGGACAAATGTTGGATAATTCACGGGAAAAATTAAAGGCTTTAAACTTTGAAGCAAGAAGCAATTCACTACCCAATTTGGCAATATTTTATTCTCTGAATGCCGCAAGAAATTTAGTATTTTTTTACTTCTAAAGGACATTAGTCGCTTTCCAACGATGAAACGTTATTGTATTTTGCTCTTAATGTAGATACTATAGGGGATATCGTAGATCTGAGATCTCGTAGATGCTCTGACAATAAATTCCTAAAGTTAAACTTCTACACATTGAATCCAAGTCAGCAACCTGCGTGCAATAATAAGGTGAAAACCTTAAACCTGACGACGCACTTAGTTCCCATACCAAGTCAGGCTTTGAATCAAATCCCCATTGAACGCCTTTCACTGGATAAACTCAATTCACTCCTAGCCACTTTTCACAGTTTCTGCTCAGTGTCTAACTGTAATACAGCTTCACCTGAATACCTACTTCAACGCTGAGGACTTCTAGTGACCTGAGGAAATGCTGGACAGAATATTTGAGTTGATAAGTGAGTTGGGTTCAACTTTGGATTGAATTGGCACAACTTACCACATATTTCTTTTTAAATCAACATATATTCTCTTTACTTCGTGATGCCGACGTTGTCAATATTTGCACAAAATGCATTGATATCATCAAAATTTTAACCAACCAAATTCATCAATTAAGAATGCACTTACCAATCAGCCAAAAAGCTTTTACATTAAACAATAATGTAAATCATCCGCTGTTTCATCGCCAGCACAAAGCAATGCAAAGCCAAGGGTGCACGATTAATTAATTACTTCTATAGCCATCTGCCATACACGTAGCGTGGAGCGTACAAATAGCCATGCCTTCTGACGCATAGCGATCAAATAGACTACTATTCACTCTGACTTGTATTTAGAGGGTAACGAAGCTGGTACCGCCCAACCAATATCTAATAAACATCAATTCACCTATCCTTCAAGAAAATTATCGTGATACCTCCGCCAACTTAAATGCCAGAAAGAAGATTATTACCTTAAAGTAGGCAATTCTGCCTTTGATATGAAAACCTACCAGATGTCTCTGATGCTCGAAAGGACAAGCATCAGTAATTACCCCAAATAACAGGTTAGAATACTGTGTCATTCATACTTGTTAAGGCAAAAGACGACCTGAATGCCCTCTGTTTGTGAAAGGTAAAACCAAAAACCTTATGTATGCTGATAAAAGTTGTCAGCTTTACCGAATGAGCAATTTAGTTTGCTCTGGAGAGTATGAAACTCGTGAATACCTTTCTGCGACAATATCTACTTAGTGTTCAATCTGGACATCCATGGAGATTTCCACAATCAATAGAAGACACGTAGGAGAGTACTGAAGAGAGGTTAGGGGTAAAGTCAAGGAATCGTGTCATTTGATGTTTGAATTTAGAGTACGCAATATTTAACAGATAAGCAAGCACTTCACGAACCGAGCAATAGACACTGAGGACTGATTCCTGATTTACTAAGAAAATTCTTCTCCACGATTTCAAATGCATGCTGACGCAGCACTCTATTTATCTTCAAAATGTTGAGGAAGCATTATGATACAGCAATTTAGGCAACTTATCAAATCTGACGTAAACTTATGCAATAAATGGACGCTAGACATTCCACAGAAAATGTTTATTTAAGAAGTTGTATTAGGGCGAAATTAGAGTAACATGAATCTTCCATCATACCGCTTATTTTATTTGCTGCAAGAAAGAACAAGATACCTCTACAGCCAGTATGTTATGTAATGCGGAGAAAGCGATGAAATGGGCTTTTACTTCCCTCTTTAGTCAGACTGCAGTTAATTGTACGTGATATTTAATGCCTGGTCGGCAAAAGTTTGCATATTCCTATGTAAACTAGTAATTGTCATTGCTATTACTGTTTCCGTGCACAGTTGAATACGTGAGTTGAAATATAGTGAAAAGTAAGGGAGAAATGGTGAGAGTGAACAGCGATAAATAGAATAGTTGAACACAAAGAATTGGATGATTACACAGCTATTTATCAATGACATTGTGTATCAAACTATAAATCGAGTCACAAATGGAATTAAATCGAAATGGGTTTTACTAATTTATTAAATAATGATAAATATGATTTTCCAAAGGGTGCTTAAACCAGAGAAATAATTGTCTAAGTGAAAAACACTAACTAAAGTTGATATTTTGACAATTCCCCAAGTTCGAAAGATTAATTATTTAGTTTCTAAAATTTTTCCAACTATTTTGATTTTGTGCACTAATAGAATTATAAAGAAATTGACCCACTCTGCAAAATTAATCAATAATTTTGATTCCCTCGAGAAAGTTAAAAAAGAGAGCTTTTATTAATGAGATGATGTCTAGAATGAAGAAACAAATGAATAGTCCAAGTGGAGAGGGGGGGGGGAGGTAGGAGTGGCAAAAGAATGAAAAAGACGCCGGAAAAGTGGTCTAGACAAAGTGGGCTACTTCATTTAAATTGGCGGTATATCAACTCGTTCATTAACTACATAAAAAGTCGTTCGTTTAAACAAATACGAATACCGCGCATCTAGTGTCAAATCGCCCCTCTCCCCCCCCCCATTCGTCTGTGCGATTGGCCATATGAGCGATTCTCAGAGTCGTTTGTGTTAATAAGGTGATTTAGGGAACCAGATGATAAAATAAGGCTTTAGATGGAATATAATAGCTCTGAATATGGGGAATTACTTGAGGCCTCACCTTGTTGAAGCTACAACCCAAATTAGCGTTCAAAGACTTAAAAACCCCGAAGAAGAATGATCGTGCTGAAAACTAATTTCCCTTACAAATCCAGGCCAAAAATTACCTAATTTTAGATTCGTAGACGAAGTCAAGCCAAAATTTAAAATAACTTTCTGAAAAAACAGCGAATTCCTTTTTCTTTCATTTAGCAAATGATGAAACTTTGGAATGGTGAAAAATTTTAAGGATTTTTCAGAAATCATGAAAAATCTTTAATTAAATTTAATTACTGACACCTTTCTTCGATTTTCATTTTCCTGAGAATTATATGAGTAATTATGGAAATTCAAACTAACTTACGAGGATTTGGAAGACTGAACTCAGTTCTTTTACAATTTTCTCCAATCACCACGTCAATTGTAAAGTTGAGTTTCTTCATATATTTGGGTGCTGTCAAATCGAAAACAGTAGGAGTGTGTTTAAGAGTTTTATTTTGAGCATCATCAGGACCCCAAGAAGGAGTTAGTTTGAGACTTCCATTTGTACAATTAAGGTGATCCAACAAGATCTAAAATGCCCAAAAAATGAGTTACTATTGATCAGCAAACATTTTGATCGCTGTTTTTTACGCCGCGCAATAGTCGTCTCAAAAAATTAGCAGTTGATGTTATGTCTCTATTGAAATGTTTTAATATTTTAAAATATTATTTAAAATAACTCCTCAAGAGGTTTCAGTATTGCCCTGGCTAAATAGATATCTCTTCCTCTCCCAATTCTGATAGTTCTGGACTCGTGGTTTACGAAGCCTATTCTGGTTCTTCGATTAAGAAGATGGCACTAATGATGCTTCGTTGGATTTATGAGTCTTAGGATCCATCGACACATATTCCCTGATCAAAATAACCAGCATTGTTAGTCGTCTTTGCTTTGTATGACTGCAAGTTTTTCCAATTCGAAAGTTCCATCGTAACTCTAAACTCATAGCAGGTGTCAGAAAACACTTCGTTTTTCGAGCAAGACATCATCGATGTATTTGGCAAGAAAGCCACTAAAAATGGAATGAGGGCGCAATAAGGGAAGTCAAAACAGTTTTTTAATTACTTTTATTCAGTAGGCATCAATGTGTAGTTTTACAATTTATGATGAGAAAGCCCATGGCGAAATGAACTTTTAACCAACAATTAAAGTCGATAACCACTTAACTGCCGAAATTACCATTAAAAAGGACCTAAATCGAAATACCCAAAGCTGACGCCCACCTAATAAGGTAACACGCGGAAAAGTTCGCGTATCGAAAAAGCATGGACGTCGCCAAGAGGCCTCCGGGCCAATCAACGATCAAAGTCAGTTCAGTGTGTTGTTAATTGTACTCGCAATCGATAAGTGTCTTGGCTTCATCCACTCCTCACCTTTTAGTCTAGACCCGCAAGACATTAATTATATCTTATCTAACCTTATTTATGCAGTAACCCATTCAAATATGTGCGATTGTAAATTCCATTACAAAATAGTATTCAAAATGCAATAGTGCAAATAACGGGAAAATCTCTATTCCCCGAATATTTCCAAATGGTTAACACAATTAAATAGTAGACTTTATAAAATCTCGTTATAGCAAGACAAGGAAATATTGAGCAAGTCCTTAACTGATCAAATATTCATCTTGAAATATGGTAGAGTTACCTATCACACAAAGATGTTAATTAATAGAATGTAAATTAAGGAATAAAGAGAATGGGAGTTTTACAACACATGATAATAAGATTTGGGTTGTAACATTTTTACGATTCGAGTAACTCAAGTTTTAAAACTGCATTTCACATATTCCTCCCTTTAATTGCATTAAATATTGATTTAAAGCTGGTTCAATGACCGTTTCCCTAACTGGTTCAATAATTAAAATGATCGGTTTTGCCACTTCACTTAATTAAACAAGTTATTTATATCTATATATGTAATAAATATTTATAATACTATTAAATTTACATAAAAACGATGTCACTAAAATTTTTAAGAGTTATGGGCTTGTCAGTTTACGAGAACGGTCAAATGCTGATTCAGATTGGATGGTTCTAGACTTTTCACCCAAGAGTAGAGTTAATTTTGTGTAGCCAAGAATTGAATTGTATCGTGGTATTCGAATTTATGGTGCAAGGGCAATAAACATATATCAAAGTTATAACGTGCTTCATGGTGGTATTTGTGCATGGTTCCAACTCTCCATGTAACACATCGAATCATGAAACTTTATGTAAATATTGACCTTTTCTGGCATCATTTCTAGTTCGAAATATATATATTGCTTTCGGGCATTGCATTACATCACTCTTAGTTAACTTGTATTTATCACATTCTCCAAACTACCCAGACTCGTATTGTATCATCTGCGCAATGTAAATGATTCATCTTAAAGAAAAAAAGAAATGCCTTTAATAAAATACTTAAAATATTTATATATATATGAAAAGTGGTTGCTTCTTTAATAATATCAGATATTAACATTTTTGTCAATACCAGCACGCAAATTTAAAGGGATGCCAGCAATACAACACATACCTGTTTAACGCATATTCTGATAACGAAATGATCAAAATCTATATTCTATTAGCTAAATAAATGTTTCACACTGATATAGTTTAAGTTAACTAATATTCATCAACATGGGGCTATGCACATTAAAATTACCCATTTTGAGAAGTTAACTATTGAGAAATGGAGTGGGTGGGGGGGGGGGGGGGGGGGTTGGAGGTTTCAATTATTCAGAAAGCAATCACTACGAGACAAACAGTTAGATAGAAATTGACGCAAACGATTAATTCGTACAAAACACTTGGTGTTTTTCGATAATTAGCGATAATTTTTAAAGTCAAACGTCTATCTGCAATTTCACATTCTTTCAACCGTAAATTACGTATTCTTCCTAGTTAATGTAAATGTGGATAATAAGGTCAGTGAAATAATTTGTGCAAGCCGATATTCAGAGAAATGATAACTTCTGTTATAAAAGTTTTCAGATAAGCTTGTGGGTCACTTACCGGTGAGAGCAGTGCAACTTGAATTTCCGCTCTAATGTTATCTGAATCTTGAGTTGTGTAGTACTTTGTCATGAAAACATCAAATTTGGCGCCTATTGAAAATATATATAAGAAATTATTTAGCTATGAAGACTAATAGGAGTAAAATAAAATGTGCATTGAAATTACCGTAAAAAACTTAAAATATCATAATATCACGATGTAAATTTACAAAAGTTATTGAGATAGCGAGAGAATTATAGCAAATTTAATCATTACTTAATCATTAAACTAAAATGAAAAATAATTACAACTACAATAATTTATTCGTATTTCATCTTTGGAGCGAAGCATTAGTTTTCGTAAAATTTTCATGAAAATACCTTCAATTTCTTCTTTGAGCCGTAGATTTCCAGACGGTGGAACGACAAGGAGTGAAGTTCTATTTTCGCCAATGGCGGCTTGAAGGTCATAGCGATAGAAAGTGGAATAATCTTTCAAAATAATATTCACGGCCAATCCATAAGTCATGCGTTCCACTCCACTGTGCTCTGGAATTTTGTTTAAAATTGCATCTTTGCCTAAGTAACAAAGTACAAACAAATTAATCATTAGAATTTTGTTGGTAGCTGTATTTTAAGCTGCAATTTGATTTTCGTCACCATCCTACCACTTTCTTTAAACTAAAAAATGTAATTTTTATTATTATAATATATCTTGAATGCGCTGCTTGATTTTATGATCCCACTGAAGATCGTTGTGTGTGACAAATACCATCTCACATTGTCTAATAGATAAAATTAACTATTTCAAATTCAACTTCCACATCCGGATACTGAAGTAATGAGAATGGTAACTTCGAAACAATTGATCTTAGCATTTTGATTAGTCTCAAGTTAATTAAATAACAAAAACATCGATAATAGTTTTATTGTATAAATTTGTGCAAATTTGCTTTGTGCGTCAATGGAACGTTAATTCAACTTCGAGTCTGATAAATAAGAGATCGTGAGATCAATATCCTTTAATGAATAGCAGAACCAATCGATTTTCTAATTAACACAATATGAGGAAAGTGGTGAATTTTCTCATATGAAATCCTCGGGGCACCCTCGATTTACACTTTCTGGGCTTTAAAAACGCATGAATTTAGTCAGAAAAAGAAGAAAGCTTCAATAACTTATTTTCAAATCGTTGATAGGGTAATGGTATACACATGAGTTCTTTTTCCATTTTTTCCTTATGTACACCCCTCTTGAACTTAAAATTGGTGATCTGATCCTATTCTACGTCCTGAAAATGTAGGCTTTGAGTGGACCGATTACCAACTTATAAAGACTGAGATAATTTCTCAGGCTAGTAAGAAGATTCAACATACAATAGAGGATCAATGTCGTGTTTCATTGCACCACAATTGCTGCTGTTTCTTAATTTTTTAAATGCATCGGGTTAACCCTTCCAAGAGAATTCGAATTTGGATAGGCAGATTAAAGATTCACTTAAATTAAGCCTTCTGAAACCAGTCCACATTTTGCTTCAAGAAAGAAAAATGGAGAAAGGAAATAAACTTGCGTTTTTAAAACTATTGCTCACCCGAAAGCCCAAAGGCTGCAACTACATTCGGTGCAGCATCTGGGTCACATCCATAGCTGAGCAATTCCACGTTTATATCATCCTCATTGATAACTCCACTGCTATCAGAGTGTTGGCAGAAAATGAGAATGTGAAGAAGACTGTCTGTTTTTGACATTACCCAGGCTCGAACTGATTCCAAAGGCTTCATATCAACATCTAAAGTAATGAAGGTTAAAATAGTTCCTTTTTTGGAATAAAAAGGCGTTTAAGGAGCCAGCAAGCTTTTACAAGTTTTGGAAGCAATGAAGTTGAAAATCTAAGAGACAACGATCACCAAAAATGGCGCCATGTTTGTTAAGGTCTTCGATTACAAGGAACTCTGTTCCCCCATTACATATTATATCGGAAATCTATATTGAACTATATGGGGTGTGCAATAGACTTACCTCCACGTGGTGCACCCTGGGCAAAGCATACATATACAGCAAATAGTCTATAAACAGGCAATTGACTTCAAATTCCCATGACCACACCGTATGTCATATTCGACTAATTCCACAGTACTCACTCCTTTATTCTACCTTTGCGTCTGTCTATTTTACGTCTTTGAAACACTCTTCTGTTCCACCCACCCCCTCTCGACTTTTTTGTCTTTAATGTTCCTTCCCCTCTATGAAGCCTGAAGTCAACTAAAGTGCTAATGATGACTATTAAATCGCCTGCCATTTGATTAAAATAAATACTGAACTATGCAATTCATGTTGGGCTAAAGTTTAACCTGTTGAATATCGGGACGTGAGCCACCTTTATCAACGGATCAATACAACAATTACTCCGGTGCACTTAAACACGATGGAAGTGAATTATGTGGCAATCAAACGCACACATTTAAAGTACACTACTTTTAAATCTCTTACGGTGGTTATCGTATATTCAGGAGGAAGAGTGCAACTTTAAAGACGAAAACGCCAATTAGGAGAATCGATTTTAAGATAAAAAGGCGTGCATTTTAAAGGAATAATTTCCCCCGTCGTTTGAGACTGTTCAGTCACTAATGTTAAGGACAAAAATTATTGAAAGAATATATTTAACTACTTTCAATTAGTACACAGATACAAATAAGAAGATGCAATCGCTATGAGCTTTGATTTTCCGAACAAGATAGTGATTTTTTTAGGTCCAATCTATTTCACTTTTAGCCTAGCTTTGATTGGATTGAATGCACATTATGCATCCAAGGAATCTTGATTGGGAAACGCGTTCTAAAGTTTATGGCATTTAAAGCAAGAATTTACTTCCAAATTATAATTTTGAACACTTAGTCTGATCAAAATCATCAGGCATTAATTGCCATAGATTGGTTAACAGGAATGTAAGCCTCCATTATTTAATTTATTGGCACGTTTAGCTGCTAATTAAAGTGAAAATTGGTTTATACTCACAATGGAATTGCAAATGTACAACTTCGATATGATTTCAAAGCTTTTTGCCTTTTTGGAGTTTGAGTAATGATGATGCTTAACAATGCAGAGAAACTTGCTGGCACTCTTGAAAAGCCAGGCCGTCAAAGAACACCAGAACTAGAAGTCTCCTATTCAAGAGACGTCTTAGGAAAAAATATCGAAAGCAAGGCCACTTTATTATAACTGACGAGGATCTCTTTATTCGAGCATTTCATGCACATTTAATTAATTTGCTGCTTAATTTCACCCTAAAAGTTTGGTTCAACTACGTGTAGTCGAATTGAAATTAAAATGATAAGGTCAAATCGCAGGTAATTCATGTTCGCATGGTTTTACGCCCATAATGCGTATAGACGCTCCAAAAAAGAATTAGTTGCCAGCGCACGGCCGCTACCATGTATTAGACATTTATTCGACAGACCCTTGCCAGGAGATTGCTATGAAACCAATTCCCAACAGGTCTAGGGAGCAAAAATAAACGAAGCGCTTAGTTAGGTACGAGCCCACAAGATCGACGTCTATTCATGCGCCAGTAGAAATTTGAATAGTCGACGGCAATGGTTATTAGCGTTCAAGAAGAGGAAATTCAGTTTGACACATTTTATCATCTCTAGAATTCCTGACTATCTTAACCCCCCTCCCCCCCATTTTTCAAACATGTCTATTGATGAACTTGGTTATTTATGTTAGGAAGAATTAAATTCGTACCAATCAAAGCAGTGCAAAGCAGATCTGGATCAAAACTGTCGAGAAAGAGGAAAAGAGGACGCAAAATTGATTATTTTATAGATTATTTAATGTTCAAATGCAAATCTATCGAGAAGTCGAAATGGTAACATGCAATGCAATTAGGAAGTGTCATACTGACCGATTTATTCAATGACTATAGAATATTTAATTTTAGAAAATGGGTAAATTTAAACGTAATTTTTGGTAAAAAAATGGTATGGGAAACAAAGTTCGTCTAACATCAAGTAGATTGAAAGCTAATCACAATTACCAAATCAAAATTATTAACTGAAGATAAAATTAAAAATAGATAATATCCTAATATTTTTATTGCTTTCACGACAGGGATAGCTAAACAATGTGATCGCAAAATAACAGCAACTTTGTTAAAGCTCAACCTGTTTTGATTGTCAATGTAATGAAAGCGATTTTTTATTTCCGAACTTTTAAAATTTATGCACGAAAGCGAATCTCTATCCCCCCATGTAAGACTAGGTCATTTATCCAACCGAGTTGAAGTGGAGATATGCCCTTCAGAATCCACCAATACTAAGATCGGCTATTAATAGCCTCTATCATTGAGAAGGAAGAGAAGTGGGATGGACTGGTGGTTTATTGAATTGTGAAAATGGAAAGAAGGTAGAGAATACGACTTAAAAAATTATGCAATCCAATAGAAAAAATGTAAATAGACGCTGGTGTCTCAGAGTAATTTTGACGTGCATTCAAACTAACTAGATTATAAATGAATGTAAATTTTAGCATTGAGCCAGACTAATTGACGTAACTTCTCAAGAATATCTCGAATAGAGTCATGTAGCAAGTTGAAACTTTTTGATTAATTGACGCTGAGAGATATTAAAAAATGCCTTGATAATCAAAAGCCGAAAATTTCTGGGGACAACTCTAATGCTGAGGAAATATCTACTTTTAATATTTATTATCTTCAAATTTCATCCTCCAGTAGACAATTAAGCAAATTACCGACCCCCCACCCACTTGTTTTATGCGAAAGTTTGTTGACTTTTTTATCAGATAGAAGGCATAATACAAACAAACATTCCGGGTGTAAAGGATTAACAACTAACGGAAATAGATATAGCTCAAACATTTTAGTATATTTGGAGAATACAGTAGATAAAGAATTCTTCAGTGCTATATATATTCGTTTGCTAATAAGAAAGGAAGAGTTCTTAAAATAAAATATCCATTTGAGTTTTTACTGCGAACAGAAATAAAATATTAAATTTTCATGAAAATAAACATTTGACAAGTTTTCGATGATTGAAGATATTACTTTATTCTAAAGAGTTACCTAATGCAGAAGTTGGCTTAAAATCAAAATTGATTTATTTCAAATGGCGGGCTTTATGATACCTATCAATAGCCCTTTAGCTGACTTCGGGAGGAGCATCAAAGGGAGAAAAAGTGGAGAGGAGGAGCAGTTGTAAAAGGGGTAGACAGACACAGAGGCAGAGAAGAGGGAAGATGAGCACTGTGGATGGGTCGAATATAACATACAGTGGGGTCATGGTAGTTTGGAGGTAGAAGTCAACTGTGGGTTAATAGTCTACCACACACCCCGGCTTAAAATCAAAATAAGTTCTTCCTTAAGTGTATTGCTAAAGTGTACTTTTTAGTAATTAAATAAATGGCAAGTTTATACGTAACTATATCCAAATATCATGGCATGAACTCTGCATTTAGGTCAGATACTGCAAAGGGTGTAAAAATACTTGAAAATTGTGCCTTTTATGCTTTCAAAATTAAATTATTAGCAAAAAAAACAATTTGTTTAATAGGTAATTATTTATATATGAATAAAGAGAAGTTACAAAAGTTTGTACCTCTGATTCCCAGAAAACGGTCAATTTTCAAATTTCATTTTAAATAAAAAATATTACTATTTCAATATTTACCTGGCCGAAGAGGTGGCACATCGTAAAAAAAACTTGTGGTAAGAATCTCCCTGTCTGCCGTCCCCCTCATTAGACAGAATTAATTGGTGTAGTTAACCATTCTGGTCACTGAATGTGCATCAATAGAGATCGCGTATGTGACCTCTAACTTCGCAGACGAGCACATTAATGTCTATGCCATCGGCGCCTCAAAGCAGTCCTAATAACACTCATTTGCCATTTCATAGTTGCTATGGCTATATCAGTGAATCAACAAGTTTGCGGCATATAGGCAGCGATGATTCACATAATTAAGGTCAGGGGTCATTAATATTGAGGCATATTGAACGTATAACGAGATTGCCGGTGATGATTAATGGGCAAACTAATGATCAACGTATATATTTAAGCGATCGCCGTCATTCAAGAGATTTTATTGCTTTCAAAACACGCCTGCTTATTCGAATGTTTCATATATTCCCCCCCCCCCCCCCACATAATTGGCAAAATCCTTGAAGAGAAGAAAATTAGAAAGTGCTGCGAACCCTTCAATACTTACTAACGCTAAAATGTGCGAAAAATATCGTTTAACTCATCTTATTATCCTTTTACGAAAGAAGATGCAGATAAATACCCGCGGCAATGCCAAACACGGAACTAAATGGATAGGCCAAAGATCTAATAATATCGTGGAAAGGGCCTAATTAATTGAATCTGAACAGTAGGGACCAACCTGTGTTTCGCATACTTTACAAGAATGGGGTTTGATTAATTACACCCACGAATTCAAACATTTTAAGACTGTCAGTGCCTTAGCTTCATAGTATGGATCTTCCAGACCCACTTCCCCCGTACCATCCTCGGTTTGCGCCTGGGAAATAAAACAGATTTCATTAGCATTTAGAGCAACCATTGTTCACCTCGGTATGAATCATACTAAAAGGCAATTAGTTGTTTCGTCAGTAACTTAACTATACCTTCTAAGCAGAAGAATAAGCGAATTATACTACCAAATGAAAGGCAATTAATAGATAACTTTAAGTGGAATATTTGAACACCTAAATTGGAAACTCGTTGCTGATCTACCTGCAATCGTAACAACCTCTATCGCAAAATTTCATAAGCCGATATATTGGATTCTTTAAAATATAATTACTAAATAAAATAAATAAAAGTATATTCAAAACTCTTGGATGTTTGACTGTTTGTTTTTACTTTTGATATCAAGTATACCAATGATGTGTCAATTTTGAGAAGTCAACATAGTGCTTATCTAAATAAATGACAGCATATTTTCCTCACTCACAGCTCAGCAACAAATAAGAGAAAATAACAAATATGCGTTATTGATATACTTTTTTTCATCTTATGCTTAACCCCAAATTAACAAATATTACACTTAGAAAATAGGGTTTATTATGATAACCTCTACAACATAAGAGGAGACTTGCACATTTTAAAAATGAGAAAACACCTTAATTGGGAGTTTAATTTAAAACACAAATCTCTGTTGAGTGGAAGCGCAAAGCCATTAATTTAACACACGAAGGTGAATAAGGAATTTTAGCCAAGTTTGAAGGAGAAAAAGACGATATTTCGGAGTGTATTTAAAGGCCACGATTAAGATTGAGGCTTGGTTACCAAAAATAACAATAAATCGACATTTAATGACTTAAAGTTCACGATTTTTAATAAATAAATAAATACACAAATATAACTTTTTGATTTTTGAAAAATATGCAAAGTTTTAAACATATATTTTAACTAAATTTCATCCTTGAATTATTAGAAACAAAACAGTAAAAAACCTCAATTTCAGAAAATGGGGGATAAACGGATGTCTGAGTTACGTTTCGCACAACTCCAAACATTGCACTTAATAAAGAAAGTATTCAATGTCAAGAAGGAACAATTAATTTCATTTCATTTTAGGGGTAACACTTTCTAATCCCAAAGTAGACAGAGAACACATTAGACAGACATTGTAGTCTGCTTTTCTCTCATCAGGGCTTGAACACATGTTAGATAACTAAGGTCATTCTTAAAATGTATGGTTCAGTGCTTATAGTCCACCGATGTAAATTTCGACTTAAAAGGCTTGAATCAGATCATAGGACTTTAAATTGTGAAAAAAATTAGGACTACTGAATGATTAAATGATTCGAATTTGTTGGTTCACAATGAAAGGATCATTGCAAAAATTAGCATGTCAATGTTCTACAGATCGGTTTCATTAAAGTCACATCAGCAAATTTAGTAGATTAAGAAATCAAATATCGTTACATTAACTAGCCCCGGGAGGACAAACGTAAGCGAAGTAAAACGCCCATTTCTTTTCACCCTTATTTATTTATTTCGAAGCCAATTGCTACCATAGTTGTGAAGTGGAATGCATATGACGTTATTCAAAAAAAATTGTTGTGTCCAAATAGAACACTCATTCCGGCTCTTACTCAGGTCAGGTTTGACCCTTCGGAAGCTTCTTCCACGCATTTGGTGGAATACGCAATAAGACTGCAGAAATCCGATGAAACAATTACGATCAAAGTTCATTGTGGTTAATCGGAGGGAAGACGGAAACAGAAATTAAAGAACAAGCGTCAAAGTTTATTTAACAGAATTTCTGTAATTTTTCCAAATGAAAATGGCCAAAAAAGGAGATAGGAAAAATATAAGTGCAATGGGGTGGGGAATAACAAGTAGCAAGAATACACGAGTTAAAAATAAATAGCATTTAATTGTTGTTGTCGTCGTCATAATGGTCGATTGCATTTGGATGGCCCTAGTATAGTCTTCGTTAAATGCTCTCAGTATTCTCCTTTTCTGTCATTGGTTTAAAATTTATTTGCAGCCTACATAAGATTTCCTTCTCAAGGTGAACATTGAAGAGTGGTAAAAAGAAATGCCTGAAGTAAAATGGCATGATCAAAATTGGTTTAAAAGACTGATAAAGATCCTCTTTTTGGGATACGAGGTCATTATGACCTAAGAATTAAATTGAAAAAATAAAAATCGGATACATTTTGGCATTAATAAATTAATCGAAAGCTATTTTGAGAAATTAAATAACTCACTGTTTTCTGTTAGAATTCAAGGAAATTAGAACGCTTGCCATCCGATTTCTACCCATTCCAACATTCCACTGGAAAACTTTGTCAGGTCTTACCATACTATTTAAACCTCTTACATTTGTCGATATTGACATGCATGTTATTAATTCCAAATAATTATCCATTTCGGTGCGTCGGAGGTATTTTAAACCTCATTTCATTAATTATTTCACTTCTAATACCTGATCAATGTTAGCATGCAACTTATTGCGACGGATTGAAATTGGAAGGCTTTGAATGAGGTGACGACAAACGCAACTCGTGATTTTGTAAGAGATGTACATATCAAACGAGTTTTATTGAAGTAGAACAAAGAAAGACGAAAAGTATCACCCGTCAACAATCTTGAATAACAATTTAAACAATTCAACTATAATTATTTATACAAAATCGTTTATAACAAACCAGTGGCAATTAGGTTAACAAACTGCTCTAAATGTACCATATTCGAAACAATAATCGACTGGTTTCCAGACACAAGACTATAGCAGGGACGCCCAAACGTTGTTATAGCGATACCCTTACGTTGAAACCATACTATCAGAAACTGAGACAAAGTCCAATTCGTGTAAGTATCAAATAACACTGTCTGTTTGTGAAAGCGTAGTTTGAAGGGCTACTTACCTTTAGCAATGATTAAGACTTTGAATTAATCACTCTGAAGAACTCGAATTTACCACACCCCAAACCACAATTCAAAGCTTAACTTCATTTGAAAATGCAAATTCAGGGAATTTTAAAGAGGGTTTCCATGCATTACTGAATGCTTTCAATATTTTATTTCCTTTTTGCTAGGGCATTTTTTGGCAATTTTATCTACATTTGATAAAAAAAACGAATGAACGCAATTTTACTTGAAAAGTCAGTAACGAGGGTGAATCTGGCTGCTGGTAACTTTTTGCTTAAACTGTACGAAAGTTTGATGAAAAAATTAGACCAGGCTAGTGGTAATCAGCTTTTTCACTAAAAAGAAATTAAATGAAATATCAGTGATAATGATAGTAAGTGCAATGAGCAGAACACGGAGTTCGAATTCAATTACTCATCGGGATAAATGGTATTTCTTGAATAAAGATCACAGATTACAACCCCTCTACAAATTAAATGTGTCAAATTAACTAGTTTTATTCGCCCACTCTTTCTTTTAAAAAATTTGACCATTTATGAGAAAAAATAACAAATATAATGACCCAAAGAGTTTGAACCACAGTAAGCATGTCTAAAGATGGATAAGAAGGATGATCTTTGTGAAACTCCTGAAGACAATCTTTATTGAAAAACATGAACTCAGAGTAAAGACAAAAGGTAAAAATGTTTGACTGCGTTCCATGGGAAAACTAAACTCTGTCACTTCTTCATCACACGACATGTTGGTTTATTGTGAATACTCACCGATAATCCTGAATAAATCAACCAATACGTCAGTGGGATTTTGATTTGGCAGAATCCATCTATATATCACTGTTTCATTGTCTTTGACATCAGGATAAACATCTTCGGTGACAATACGATTGGCTGAAACCGTCCAGTTTGATAGTTCTTCGATATCAGGGTAGAGTTTCAGTTCACCCTCTTGAGAGTGCTAAAAACCACAGTACATCATCAACGTTGTCAATTTGATCTTTCAGATATTTTAATTGAATTTAAGTAAATTTAAGTCACATTATAAAAAAATCAACTCGAATAAAATGAATTTTGGCTAACAGCAGCTGTAAAGTAATTAAATGTTTGAACCGGATTCGAAGTACAACCGATTGTAACTTAATTGCTTGGCTCTAGTTCAAATAAACCGTCAATGTTATTTAGAAAGACAGCAACCCACCGATTTTGGGCTATTTATCAACTGAATAACTCAAGCAAATATTTGCATAAATTTAAATAATTTATCTCTTACAAGGAGCAAGAAAAGGGAATCTATTTTCAATAAAAAATTAATCGATATCAACGTAAGGTTTGAGCCACTATGAGCAAGAAAACCCACCAGGTTCTCGTGATATTTTCTTTCACCGTCTTCTGTCCATTCAACTCGAGTATTGAGACCGTTGGAGAAGGTATACCCTCTGGCAATCATATGGAAGAACCCACCTTGTCCTTCTGTTGCCAGTTCAATTAGACCGCCAATATTTTCACCTAGAGTTTGACGCTTTCCTTGATATTCGATGGTGTAATTGCGTTGAAATATCGCTTCTAAAGTTAGGAAATGGAACGTTAAAAATGAATTGCATCTGAAATATGACGTTTTAAGTCTTGGTGATAAGATGATATTATCGATCTCTTTTGATCATAATTCATTGATTTAGAGTTTAGAAATGTACGCAAAGATCAGTAGGAATTGGAGTTTACTCGTTTGTTTTGCAGCTCCGAGTAGTTTCGAAGATTTTAAAGACAACCTACTTGCAACAAGTCCATCAATTAGAGGGACTTACGTTGGACTAGATAAGGACATTGAAAAGATCGAAGACGGAGATCTCCTTAAGACCAGAGACATTCGGAAAATGAGCACTCGGAGTTTTAATCGAGTGCTGCTTTATAACATAGTAGCCATTCTCTTCCTAGAATATTTAAATGCAATTAGCTCTTTTATATTCCACTTTTCTTTGTCAGGGCACCTTAAAATCAATACTTGCCTTAAGCCGAACTACTCAAGACATACGTATGGAAGGGAGTGGGAGGGGGGGGGGGTGGAAATTAAAGTATTCAGGTGGTTTGACCTTGAACATTTACGATTTAATTTTAGCAACACAGAAATTCAAAGAATGTTCAAAAGTACAGAATAATTGAAATTTTGTAGCAGAAGGAGAATTTATTCTACAAACTAAGTCAGAAGTCACGTAATCGGTGATAAGTTCCATATACCCCCGGATTTCAATGACCTATCTTGTCCAAATAGGAACAGGCCAATTCAAGACCTAATATAAAATATGTCAGTCTGCAATTAATGCAACTAAGAGAGAGCTATTTTCATTCTTATCAGCTGGAGGGTAAAAGTTTTCAGTGTATTAATCAATGCTTTTTCTACCCTTACAATAACACTAATACAGTGTTAGCTCCAATATATATATATATATATATATATATATATAAGATAAAAATAGCAGACATCAGAATTCGGCATTGCTAATATTTTTTTCACTAATAAAGAGGATCCCACACAAAGAGAAAGCATGTCCAATTATAAGCGTCAAAACAAGCAACGCTTAAAAGACACGATTTTCACTGGATAGAAATAGTGGAGTGTTAATTTTTCTTCAAAACCGTTAAGAAAGTAATTTACAAAATTTGCAATTCTTGCGCTTTGACATCTTCTCCTCCTCCTCCTCCTCCTTTCTACTATACTCATTTTCTTTAGACACATCACCTCCACCCTTTCCGTTAAATTTTTTAAAGCAAAAGTTACGTTTCATTTTTAAAAACAAATAAGTAATAATAAGGAATTACTGAATAACAATGAACCCATTTAAATATTTTTGAATTTTTGAAAAGTGATAGGCTGCACATTGCATTCAATTATAACAGGCAAAAATAAAGTTAATTTGAATGAAGCAAGCTTATATAAATGCTTTAATCATAAATCTAATTTTTGTCATATTGTAGGTACTAAAGTGATTAATGCAATTTAGTTTTAAAAATGTTTTGGAAAATAATTTTCTCAGTCCGCTTGCGGGTCATAATTGTGTTTCCACAATTATCGCATTCGGGAATTAAGCTGAATGAGTGATAAGTACATTTGAATCCTTAAGGGAAGAGCATGCGAGTACTCTGTAATTACAGTCAGGGCCTTTATCCGTTTGGGACCAAACATGAATGACAGAATAATTTAATGTGCCAATTGTGATTCCTTTAGATTATAATCGACCTTTACGATTTATGAGATTTGGAAATGGTAAGAAATGGGTTGAATGGGAGATTTTTTTACATTGATTTTATAAGTTATTGGAGTTGTAAGAATTCAGAAAAATAAATGAATTATTCTTTTAATATCAAACTATATTGAGTTTGCATTTTCAGCTCTATCTATATTTTTATTAGCTAATTTAAATGCAATAAAAACACAAATTACACCCATCTATTTAAAAAAATTGGGAAAAATTTAATCCACAACCCCCCCCCCCCCTCCCCCTACTATGACTACAGAGACTTTTCCTTTTAAGTTAAAATTCAGCTCATATTTGCATCAAAGCACGCAGACACTACTTTAAGGAGAAAATAGGAATTATTTTAATTTTTGAAAAGTCTCTGAAAGATTGTCCTTACAAATGATAGACTACCAATGATAGCTTTACCTTCTTCACCTTTCATATTACTTGTGATGATTGCTCGCTTATTATGCAGTGCCTAGGTTAATCTCCTGACAGTAGCTGCCAATAAAAATTCACTTAAGCATTTGTTTTGAGTAAATGGGTGACATCATGGAAGTTACCCATTGATAAACTCAAATTCTATTGAGTTGTTTTAGTAGCTTGTTCTTTTCACAAATAAAAGTACAGTTTCTAACATAGATATAATTGATATTGACATTAATGAGATCAGTTACATTACTTTTAATTATGGTCAAAACTGCAAATGATATTATACTGCCACTAAAATATTTTTACACCTTAGAACATAAATGGGAGAAGATTAACTGGAAAGTAGCAAGTCTGGACAAAACAATTAGAAAGGTATTGAGAATATTAACAGGAAATGGAAAATAATAGCAATGACAATTGTATCAAGTTGACAACCATTTTTGAAAATGCGTAGACAAAAAAGAAGCAATTGTTCAATTTTTTCAAAAAGGAGATGCGCTTTTTTTCCAATCAACAAAAAGCATAAGTCGAACAGTGCCATGAGCCTATTTGAAATAACGCTCATTGCTTTTAATATGAGCGAATATATATGACCTTGATTTAAACTTCCAGTTGGTATTTTTTTATTCTTCATTATTACCGGACATGATTGCCTGGCGAAGCGCCCTCACAGAATAGGAGCCTAGGCTCAGCCAACATGCCCCCCCTTTGTGACCTATAGGAGGAAATGGAGTAAACCCACCTGATTCAGTCTTCAGCCCTAAGGACAACGACAGAAACCCAGAGACACTGGAAAGCCAGAAGCCAACTAATGAACTACTGTTAATTGATCTAAAGCCTAACTATATGTTCCTCCAACTCCTTCCCGCTTCCCTTTTGAAAGCCGAAGTCAACCAAGGGGCTACTGATAAATATCATTGAGTCTGCCATTTAAAATAATATTTTTTGTAAGATTTGCTATATTGAAGCAAAAATATTCTTTAAAAACGATGTATTATCTCTACTTATTCATTATTTTTATTCAATTTATTGTCTTCTACCATCCCTCCTAAAAGATATTTATTGATCATTTATTTCCCCCCC